TTCTCTCTTTTCTCTTTCTTTATCTTCCTCACATACCTCGACAAGCAAATCCTGTGGATATGGCCCCCGCCACCCCCCTTCCCCCCCGAACTATTCCGTTAGTACATGAGGCAATCAAACAAGTTGGGAAGGGAGAGAGAGAGAGAGAGAGAGAGAGAGAGAGAGAGAGAGAGAGAGAGAGAGAGAGAGAGCGGGGGGGGAGGGGGGGGAGAGAGAGAGGAGGAGGAGGAGGAGGAGGAGGGGTCAGTCAGTACTTGCAGGCCAGTCAAGGCATTCAGAGGAGGGGCGGCATATGACGAGAGCAGGAATGCAGATTCTGCAAGTTTGCAAGTAGGAGGTGACGTTGGGGTTGCACACAAAGATGCGCTAACGGGAAGAAGCTGCAGTCAAGGAGCAGGACGAGGAACTCAGAGCAGCTGTCACAGCATCTTACGCTCATGCAGGGCTGGACGAATGGCGAAGGGGGAGCCGAGATGCTGAGACGCTCGCGCTGACTGTGAAGCTACAAGACTCGGAGGACCATGAGGGAGCCGGGGGAGCTCGGACTCGCCTCCTTGGGACGGATCGCTCTTGTGCTCTTCTCCCTTCTCCTCGTCGGAACGCTACTGGCCGCAAGATGGCCAGGGGGGGACTTGCTGAGCAGGGAAGTTGCGATGGGTGTGTACGGCCTGTTGTCCTTGCAACGTCCGATCGGCACGGGGAGGAGCAGAGGTGCGGAGCATGTCGATTGCTCCACACAGAGTGACTGATGTGCTTGTCCAGGCCTCAAGCTCCTCAGCAACTCACGGGAACAACCTCCGGCCAGCAACGACACCGGCTCGGTTCCTCCTTTCCCTCCCATCTTTCCTTTGCCCCATCACTGGGAGAACGGCAGCATGACCGTCAACCTGGTCCCTGACTTCAAGTTTGAGATCGCCTCCTCCTCCAAGGACCTCCTCTCCCTAGCCGCACGCTACAGGAAGATATGCTTTCCTCGCAAAGCGCGTTGGGCTCCCAACCGACAGGACAGGAGCACGGCTCTCACCAAGCTTCAGCTCGTTGTAACGTCTCCCGATCACGTCCTCAGTCCGCACACGGACGAGTCCTACACCCTCCTGCTACCTGCCGGGGGCAAGGGCGAGGGAGGGAGGGTGGCTGTGCTAGAGGCCAGCACGCAGTTTGGGGCCATGAGAGGGCTGGAGACTTTCTCGCAGCTGCTGCACTTCGACTTTGACCTGAGTGCCTACAGGGTCCTCCATGCTCCATGGCAGGTGAAGGACAAGCCTCGCTTCCCTCACCGCGAGCTCCTTGTGGACTCAGCCAGGCATTTCCTCCCCGTCCGCGTCCTGAAGGACCTCCTCTCCTCCCTCTCCTTCGCCAAGATCAACGTCCTCCACTGGCACCTTGCCGACACCCAGTCGTTCCCCATGCAGAGCAGGAACAACCCCGAGCTCTCAAGGAGAGGAAGCTTCTCCTCTGACGAGACCTACTCCGAGGATGACGTGGCAGAGATCGTCGAGTGGGGGAGAATGCGGGGGGTCCGCGTCCTCCCTGAGATCGACATGCCGGGGCACGCGGCGAGCTGGTGCAGGGGATACCCCAAGATCTGCCCCAGCCCCTCCTGCCTCGAGCCGTTGAGCCCGGTCATGCCGACCCCTCTAACTCCCTTCGCTTCCGACGATACCTTCACGGTAGTGGAGAGGCTGATGGGGGACGTTGTCAGCTCCTTCCCGGAGCCTCTGCTGCACCTTGGAGGAGACGAGGTGAACACAAGCTGCTGGGAGGCATCGGAGAGCATCAAGGGATGGATGAAGCAGAACAACCTGACGACAGGAGATGCGTTTAAGCTCTTCCTCTTGCGTGCGCACGCCATGGCAGCCAAGTTCCACAGGCGGCCGGTGGTGTGGGACGAAGTGTGGGACGTGGTAGGAGCAAACTTGAGCAAGGACGTAATCATTCAGCAGTGGAGATGGGGAGGAAACCACGTGAATAGGACCAAGAATGTAACGTCCAACGGATATCAGCTGATCTGGATGGTGGACCCGGACTGGTACCTTGACAGCCTGTCGACAGGATGGGAGAAAATCCACACGACCGACTTGTGCGAGGGCTTGACTGAGGAAGAGTGTGAGCGAGTGATAGGAGGAGGCGGCGGCATGTGGGGGGAGACAGTGGATGCCTCGGACCTGGAGCAGGTAGGAAATGACCCAGGGATGAGGGGTGGGGGTAATGCATCCTTGCAGACAGTCTGGCCTCGGATGGCAGCCTTGGCAGAAGTCCTGTGGTCACCTGCTCCAACGGGAAAGAGGTGAGAAGGAGGGAAGACCGCGCGGTTTCAGCCTCTCCTGACGTCCTTGCAAGGTCGCACGAGCTCGCCTGGTCCCTCAACGTGACGAGGTCGAGGTTGAAAGCTTTCCGCTGCCTCCTCCTTCAGCGTTAGCACAACCTCAACTTGCTCTCGTGCTCTAACGACTGTACAGGAGGAGTACGCGCGGCACCTGTTGACAATGCTGTGGCTCGAACAGCTCCTTCGGGGCCAGGAGGTTGTAGGGATGCGTGAGCGAAGATGTGTTAAGAGGATAACATAGTTACACAGTAACATTCACTCCTTCAATTACATTACACACGCAATCTCTCTTCATACCCCGATTATTAGGTACACTATACTCGTTGGTCCATTTGTTCCCACGGTTCTACACCATAACAAAGATCCAAGTTCACGGATTGTTTCATATCTGGAAGTCCAACGACACATCCTGTAACGTTGGACATGACGCTCGTCGAGCTTTAGAAACCATCATACCCTTCAAGTTTGCCTGGATCAAGTTGCGAGCAGAGCCATTCCTCTGGAACGCCTGCATGTCGCCGTCCATTACGTGGCGTTTGATCCCATTCTCTTCGATGTGATTCAGCCTGTACAGGATATGGAGAAGACGTCGGTCTCGCTCTGCCGCCCTCCAGACTTGCTCGAGGTCGATTCGTACCAGCTCCCCTGTGCTATTCCTCCTCTGTGGCTTCCGATTCTGATCCTCTTTCACGCCGAAGAAATCCTCCCACACCTCCTTGCTCATTCGTCTTTCTTGAAACTTCTTGTCTATCACTACTTCCTCTTCACCTCCTCTCTCTGCCGTCACTTTGTGATGCATCCACCACTGCATGGTCTCATCTCCAACCCAAAATCTCGACGTTTTGTTTGTCGTCTGGAAGAATGTGCCAACACAACTTAAGGCCTAAGCTTGTCTCCGAACGGATATTCCTGGAACCAACGACGTCAGCACCAGAAGCATTCAATTTCTTCTCATTCGAGCTTTCAAAACAAGAAATAACATATCTATTCCTCAAAGAGTCTAACTTGATGACTGACGATGAAGGGACATTTGCACTTGCACTTGCGTGATGGCATGAGATTCCAAATATTACGCTCTCAAACGCATTCAACTTTTACAATCAGATTCGCCTCACAGGTTCACCCCTTATCTTGCTCTTTTCAACAACGAGAACATCCTCAAGAATCACAATTCGACAACTTTGCCACTGCCCCTCGTAATCTTGCTTTGCCTCACATCCTCGCTCAATTACTCATTTCTCATCTCTTTGTTTCATCAACTCATCATCTTCTTCATTCTCATATCTAGAAGTGTCTACCCTCCAGCATGATCCTCCCTTCTCCCTTCTCCCTTCCATCTCAACTCCTCCATGTCAACACTTCATTACAGCCTCTGCATTGTTTCGTCGGAGTTCCGATGACCCCACCCATCCGATTAACCAGGTTCTCAGAATCGACAACCCCACCCCTTGTTTTGTACCTCATATTTGGTATGGGATATGGGGTACCTTAACACCCTTCGTACTACCCCACCCTCCTATCTGTCTGGGGAAAACGTGATAAGCGGCAACCCTCGTGATTTAATATATCTACCCACTGCTTTACATCAGGTCAAGGCAGGTACCCCTGATTTGCCCACCTACTACCCACCTTTTGAACAGTACCGTGGCAGGTTTCCAAACAACAACAATAATAATGTACATAGTGGGGGTAGGGGTGGTTCTGCGGATGGTCGCAATCCTAAAACTTGTTTTAATTCTGACCGTCTTTGCTGATTTGGAAACGATGGTGGAAGAATGGAAGTATGCTCTATTATTCAAATTTCATCGAAGAATTTTATAAACTCTTCAAAACATTTGCTCTAAAATGAATGTTTTTATTTGTCCTCCAAAAAAAAAAGCTAGTGCCTCCTTTGACTGTCAGGTGATCCACCCCACCCCCTTCTTCACAACATGTCACAGTCAGCCTTCACCCCACCCCTCCACACAACCACCCCTTTATACGTCTACCAAACTCTATCTGCAGTACCTGTCACGTCCTCACAAATCTATTATCAAACCTCCCATGTCAAAACAGCTTACACGTATGCCATACCACCCCCTCACCTCCCCCACCCCATCAATTGAGGAACCCTACCCACCCAGGTGTGTACAGTACAATAAAAGCCTTAGTAGACTCAAAGCGGCATCCGACTCTTTGGGCCCGGGCGCCCGGTCTTCCGAGGGGTTTCAGGCTCATAACCGACGGAGCACAAGTTTGTTAGACTTGTACTGTGCCAAAGTCAGAGTCACGCAGATATCACATCGACCTCAGTTGTAACAAGACAGGTTTTGCTCAAGACCAAGTTTAATGCACACAAAACCAGAATTGAGGAGCACATGAGAGATAGACTGTATGCTAGGATGTGAAACCCCTACTAGTCGGAAAGCCCCCTCTTCGTCCCACGTACTACATTGCCGCCTTGAAACACGTAAGTCGTCTTGGTTTACAGGAGAGTTTTTGTTAACTCGGCGCTATCTGACTTGGAACTCTGCTGACATGAAGTTCAGGCTCTTGTTTGTGTGACTTTCTGACGTCCGATGCCGCACGTACGATACTATCGAGTCAGGAACTCGGGGGGAGGATGGAGCGTATGCCAGCCGTGCCAGTCAGATAGCGCCGAGTTAACAAAACAGGCTCTCCTGTAAACCAAGACGACTTTACAACTGAGGTCGATGTGATATCTGCGTGACTTTGGCACAGTACTAGCAAGTCTAACGAACTTGTGCTCCCGGTCATCAAGTCAGTTGACTGACCATCTTTACTCAAAGTTAAGTTAAAGATCAGTACGAGGACAAAAAACTTGACTCAGTGAAATCGGATGCACGGCCTGAACACAGAACGGCGTACACTTCAAGCGGCTTCTTTTTCACAACTTGGCTTCTCAGCCACTACTGACTCCCCGCCGCAGACCCGGAAATCAGCGGTGACCGTGCCGACCATGTATCAGATACTGAGCGGGGTACGGTCCGGCCCGCCGGGCCCGGCGCGGTCCCGGTCCCGGCATGGCCGGGGGCCGGGCCGCCGCCGCGCGCTGGCAGCCTCCATCACCCGGCCGCCGGGCCCGGAGTGCCAGTCGGACCGTCAGCGGTGACGCTGCCGGGAGTTACTAGACTGGACCACTTCAGCTTAACTTCAGCCAGCCTAGGTCCAACGGCCGGGCGGCAGCAGCGACATGGCAGGTTGTGATGCTCCTGACAGTGCACGCGGCATCATGATGCTGAGGGGAGGAGCCTTGAGGGGGCTGCCAGGATCAGGCGGGAGTCAGATCAGTTGAAAGAGGAGAAGCGGCAGGGAACGTTCCGGGACTGAAAGAGCAGGGCGACGGAGGAGGGAGGAGGGAGGAAGAGGAGGGAGGAAGGAGAAAGGAAGGTAGGAGGGTTGAGATGGTAGCACGACGTGACTGAGAGGAGGATGCTGGCAAGGAGAAGCTGAGCTGAGCTGAGCTGGTGCACCCGGTAAAGGGGCGCAGGAAAGGATTAGAAGTCCTCGTTGAGAAGAGAAATGTCGGAGAGAAGATGAAAACAAGGTAGAGGGTTTGCAAGAGGGAAGCGAACAGGGTGGATGGCAATCGACGGACGACAAGACTTGTACGGTGAATACAGTGACTGACACTCGTTCTGCAGGAGAGCGCGGCAAGAAAGACCTTCGGAACATGGAAGAATCCATCGACATTGTTCCTGTCGTCTTGTATGACAACTTGCGGCATGAAACGCTGAGAGTGTTGACAGATGTTGTTGGAGGAGGCGCAAAGAGGGGAGTACACAAGCGCGCAGGTAGGAAGAGCTACTTCCTTATGGTTGCATTTCTTTGCCTCATACTGCTCGCAAGGACGAGAAAGTTCTGCAGAGAATTTTTGAGAGGATCGACTTCAAGCGAGACAACAAGATCGACAAGGAAGAGCTGGAGCACTGCTTGCGAACTCTGGGGTACGACCCTGTGAAAGTCAACCAGTACGGGATTTCGGAGGTGGAGCAGATGATCTGGGAGGTAGAGCGAGGGAGAGCTGGCGGGGTAGACTTGAGACGTGATCATGCTGCAGGTGGATGAAGACAGCGATGGCTGTGTTAGTCTGGATGAGTTCCACACCATGTTTGTTCGCAACCGCAATGACAGGTCCGCCGACCTTGAGCTGCCGTCTATCACTGACGTGCATGGTGGGTTCAGGACGGGGAGGGAGCCCAAGAAGCTGTACAACGTCTGCCAGTTCATGACGTTGGACAGGGATGGGGATGGATCTATTTCGACAGAAGAGTGTATGGAGATGATTATCCATCGCTTCGGAAGGTTGTTTGTGTTGTCTTTGAAGTTGATTTCTTTGTTTGACATGTCCTGCAACCTCGTCGTGTTCTGGGCTGAACAGGCAGAAGTTGGAGGAAGTATTTCATAATGGTATGCACGATCGAGAGATCACTCTCTCCGACTTTCTGTTGCAAGTGAGTTGGTCGCACAGCACGGTGAGATGTTGTTGACTCCTCGATGCAGGTCAACAGGAACTACTCGATGCCCGACAAGGGGAGAAAGAAATCAGCGAGGATGAAGGCAAACAGTCTAGGTAAGAGAGCCGCCACCTAACTCACTTGCTCTCCGTCACCTCTCACTTGCTCTCCGTTACCTCCTACTTGCTCTCACTTGCTCTCCGTTACCTCTCCCTTGCTCTCCGTTACCTCCTACTTGCTCTCACTTGCTCTCCGTTACCTCGTACCTCCTCCTTTCTGCATGATGTCACGTCTGTGACAACATTACTGCAGCAAGGATGCCTTCAATCAGCAAGAGATGATGCGGGGTGAAGGAAATGTCAGGTAGGATGTGGGGTAGGTGGATTGGGGGGCGAATCATAACAGACCCAACTTGTGTAAGAGTGATAGAACTCTTTTACTTGCTGTCTTGCAAAATTCTGTATCCGAGATGTCTTCATGTCGCTCCGAACGAAGGAGTTCTAGCTCCAAAAGATGCAAACAACATGCCGGTGAAGGCGCGCATGAGATGAGCCTTGGTGAAGTCATCAGTCGAGCAACTTTCCTTCCCTCTCCTGAGATGTCACATCAAGTCAGGATGTCTCGCAGTCAGTGAAGACGTTGGAACGAACCTCAACAGGGGATGGAAGAGAAGATTCATGAAGCTTATCAACACCCAGGAAGCTAGCAACCACTGCATCGCCGCAAGAATCTGCAAGTTATTTTGTCAGTATCATCATCATCATCATCATCATCATCATCATCATCATCATCATCATCATCATCATCATCATCATCATCATCATCATCATCATCATCATCATCATCTCCATCATCATCATCATTCCCAAAATACAAACACTATCTCAAAGTAAAACAGTCAAATGTCTGCCTTCACTAGTTCATGCACACATCGATGCAATGGGAAATTGAGATTACTCTGGTTCAGTTGTTGCTCCGCGTGGTTTGCCCGCTCCTCTGCCGCTGCCAACTTCTCCCTAAGGGCATTGAGCTGCAAAATAGAACGAAAACGACAGGTCATACAAATCAGTCAGCAGGAAAGTAAATGATTACCTCCTCTTGCTCCAGTTCGTATTTCTCACGTTCCCTTCTCAACCGCTCCTCTTCACTCTGCAGCACAAGAACCACTCTCCTCACAAGCAAGACCAAGATAAAGAGAATCAGTTCGCACTTTGATCTGTCTGGCATGTTCTTCTTTCTCTTTCCTCAGCCTTTCCTCCTCAACCTTGACTTCACAGTCACTTCACTGCACAGGAAAGCCGCTGCGTCACCCGAAGCTCCTGCAGCTTCTTCTCGTGTTCTTCTTTCGCGCGCTGCGCTTCTTCCTGTGCTAATCTTGCCTGCAAATAGAGTCTGCTCACAATTTTGAAGCTCTCAACGCTCTCATGGGGGCTAGAAAGAGATATCTGACACATCAAACAACTCATTGGGCATCAACCATTATCAGACATCATCAGAGTCAAGCTTTCTACTCTTGAGAACAAAGCCTGATAGATATCAACAGAACTCAATCAATCCAAATCTCTCAACATTCCAAATACACGATCAGTAAGACGTGAAGACGCGTGTTCAGACATCTCGACTGGGAGGCAGCATATCATGTTGATTTGTCAGGAATCCTGGCACCATACCCTCAATCTCTCTGCTTCTTCTTGCTGCAATCTCTCACGATGTGCTGCCTGTCGACGTCTCAGTGACTCCTTCCAACCGTCGAGTTCCATCCTACCTCGTCATCGTGCACCGGCTCCTGCTCCGGAACCCCTGGCAGCTCCTCGCCAGAAGGAGTTGCGTCCTTTTCGCTTCATAAGGGAAACAAAGCCGGCAAACACTCCGAATCACCTGAGCATGCAAGGAGAGCGCAAAGAGGAGCAGGAGCGAGACCGACAAAGCGACCTTCCATGATGCTGGATGAAAATAACTCATTCTCTCGACAATTGGTTGCACTCGATTGATCTTTCTCACAATCTTCTACAGTCATCTTCTCACCAGCATCTAGGCCTTCCCATTCTCTCCGGCCTCTTGCACATGTTGATTTCATTGTTTTGAATCTGATCTCTCTCCTTTTCTCTCTTGTCCATCTTTTTTAATTCCCACGTCTTTCGCCCCACAAACCATCTTTCCTCCTCCTTTTCCTCAGCTTATCCCTCCCCTCATCGTTTCGCAACTTCCTCTTTTTCTTTTGCACTGTCCTTTCGTCTCCTCTTTTTCCCTCCTCTCCCCTCTCCAGCTTTTTCTCCTCCCTTTCCATCCTTTCCTTCCACTTTTCTTTATCCGCTCAGTTCCTTTCCTCCTCTCCAACTCCACTCTCTCCCTCTCTGTTCTCCCTCCCTCCTCAACTCTTCTTCTCAAACTCTGCCAATCCTTCTCTTCCTCCCTCCCCCTCCCCTTTCCCTTCCCCCTCCTCTCCCTCTCCCTCTCCTTCCATGTCCCTCACCTGCCATGCCGTTCGTTCGATGGCGTGCCACCTCCTCCCACTCAACTAAAAAATTTCGAATGAAAATCTAGGATAAATTTTCAAACATTTAATCAATTATTTTCATGGGTAAATGAATTTGCTTTCAACAATTGCTCCGAGGCGGGTTGGGATCCCGCAAAAGTTTCACTATAGGTAATGGAGGGAGCGAGCATGATCAGAGGAGAGGAGGGAGGTAGGGAGCGAGCGAGGGGGGAAAGGGAGCGAGCGAGCGAGCGAGCAAGGGAGGGGGAAGCGAGAGAGCGAGGAAGCGAGGGAGCGATTGGGGGAGCAAGGGAGGGAGCAAGGGAGCAAGGGAGGGGGGAAGCGAGGGAGCGAAGGGGGGTGGGAGCGAGCGGGCGAGGGAAGGGAGTAAAAGGGAAGAAAAGGAGACGTAAAAATGGGGCAAGAAGAGCGGAGGAGTGTTGTGGTGTCCTGGCTCAGCGACAAAGGAAGGAACGTGTTTGAAGTCATGGCAAGGGGTGCTTGCAACGTTTTTCTATGAGTGCGGAACAGAAATTGACTGCCAAGTGACGAGGAAACAGGAGAGGAGCACAACAATTAAGAGAAGATGAAGTAACGAGACAAGATGTGTGGTGGGATAAGAAGGGGTTTGGAGTCGAGAGAGGCATAGCAGGAGGGCAAACAAGTTTCAATCGATTTGTTCTTAACAAAAGTTTTTATCTGCATACGGTCACATGCCCAAGATATCGCCTGGGCTCGTAAATTATAGTTGCATACAAAATTCCCTTGTGATCTCCGCAGCGCTCTCTGCTTGGCTCATGCTAGTGCTGATTTTCCCGCGTTCATCTTGCCGGTGGGGTCGTCAGTGGAGGAGAAACTGGTCTCGAGCTGCTGCTGTGGGGACTGATCGACTGCAGATGGCAAGATCAGAAGACGGGGAGAGGGAGAGGGTAGCGAGACTACCTTGAAGGTTGGAGGCCTCGACAGGGTTGGAGGCGTAGACTGGCGAGTAGCTCTCAGGCGCAACGGGAGGAGGAGCGTCCACCTGCAGCATAGGAACTGCCTGAATTTCAGGAGTCTGCTGCTCCACCATCGGCATCGGCTGCGGCATGCTGGTAGGCTGCATAGCACTGACTTCTTGCATTGGAACTGCCTGCGGAACTGTGCCCTTCTGTACAAATCACAACATCAGTGAACCTGCAAGAACGTCCACACTCTCGGACATAAGCGTGAGGGTACCTGGGGTTGTTGCTCGTAGCTTGGAGCGACTCCGTGCTCTGAGATGTCAAGCCCAGCCTCCTCTACCTCAGCGCTCACTCGGATCCCGATCGTCTTGTCGATGAACAGGAACAGCATCACCGACATCCCGATCGTCCATGCTGCGATCACCAAGCTTCCCACCACCTGCACTCCGAACTGCTCGCCGCTGCCGCAAGCCTCGTTGGCGTTGGGGTAGCCCGCATACTGCACGTTCTTGTCCGTGCAGAAGATGCCGGTCGCCCAGATGCCCCACATGCCGCAGAAGCCATGCACGACCGAGGCGTCGCAAGGATCGTCGATGCGGAGAGCGAGCAAGAGGTAATGACCACCGTACAAAATAAGTGCAGCCACAAACCCGATGAGGAAGGCCATCCTGTAACAGAGGCGTCAGCGACCCGCCATACCCCAGCTCCTCCTCTCGCTCCTCCGCACCCTTCACGCCAAACGCTCTCTCTCTAGTCTTGTCGATCCCTCTCGTTCCTCCTCCCTTACCATGGATCGACGACCGCACAGTTGGCAGTGATCCCTACCAGCCCCGCCAGCACTCCGTTGAGCCCCATCGAGATGTTGTAGTGTCCTTGGAGGGCCTTGGCCAGGAACGTCGCCGTGATCGCTGCTGACGCCGCCGAGATCGTCATGTTCACCGCCACCTTCCCGGCTACGTTGGCGGCTCCTCCCGAGATCATGAGCGTCGACCCGCAGTTGAAGCCGTACCACCCGAACCACAGGATGAACACTCCCAGCGCCTGCAGCGTGTTGTTCCCGTCGAAGAGCGTGTTGACCGACCCGTCGGGCCCGAAGCGTCCTCGACGAGCTCCCGCGATGATCGCCCCGACCAGCCCGCAGAAGCCTCCTACCATGTGCACGACTCCTGACCCCGCAAAGTCGATCAAGCCGTTGGACCGCGTGTCCTTGTTGAAGATGGGCCGAGCTACCCCGTTGGAGTCAGGATACGCTCCCCACGCCGACAGCCACCCGTACCCCCACACCCAGTGCACGATCACGGGGTACATGAAGGTGCTCAAGAACACCGAGTAGATGAAGTACGCCTCCAGCTTCGTCCGCTCGCACACAGCCCCAGCCACGATGGTGGCCGCGGCTCCCGCGAAGGCCCACTGGAAGAACCACTTCTCCCACCCGTCCGAGCTACCCATGCCGTCTCCTGCTCCGTTGTAGACGTCCTTCAAGCCGAAGTAGCACGCGCTCCCGCACTTGCCGATGAAGCCGCCCGAGTCCGACCCGAAGGCGAAGCCGTAGCCCAGCAGCCAGAAGGCGATGGCCGCGATGGAGGCGTCGATCATGTTCTTGAAGAGGATGTTGGTGACGTTCTTGGGGTGGACGATACCGGCTTCGAGCATGGCGAAGCCGGCCTGCATGAAGAAGACGAGGGCACCTGGGGAGGAGTGAGAAGGTGAAGGAATAGGCGAGGAGAGGGGGAGGGCGTACCACACAGAACTATCCATGCTGTATCCATGTCTCGGGAGTTGGCCTTGACAAGCGCCTCAAAGTCATTGAGGTTTTTCCGATTTTGACTGACCGCATCTGTTGCTTGTTGATACTGCCATTTCATCAAATTATTGTCATTGCACTTGAGTGTTTGCACTCAATCATCAATAATCTTCTGTCGTTTTGACTCTCAAACACTGCGGTATGTCAATTTGTGTCTCTACCTAGCTTTTCAGCACAAAACTTTGTTTGTTTTCTACACATCGATGCTCAGGTATCACTGAAAAGCGCGTACTTCAAGTAAAGTGTTCAACTCTCTTCCAGCTATCGACCCGGCCTGTTCTGTCCTCAAAGTACAGAGTTTTGAATGAGCTGTTTCTCCTTTGCTTGCACCTATCTTTTCTTCTCACCGTCACCCGTTCCACACCATCCCTACTCTTCTGCCACCCAGTCCTTTCCCTTCCTCCATCACATCAAATTCATCCTCCCGTCCTCTCGCTCTCAGTCCAGCGGGTCAGTGGGTGGTTCGGGTGATCTGGCCCTCCTCTCCTCACCTGTACTTGTAGACTCTGGAACTTCGCCCATAGCTCGTCGTACGTCGGCGCAGCCATGTTCCTTGAAGTTGCCGCCTGAGAAGTAAGGATTGAATCGATTGAATCAATCATACTTCAGGTTCAAACCGATTTTCTTCCCTCTTCCAGTACCTGGAAACGAATTTTTTTACCAAACAGCTGAATCGATTTGATTCAAATCATTATCTTCTCACATCCCCTTGCCCGGTACGAATCATTGATTCTAGGAAATAGGTGGTGGGGGTACGTGCATAGGGGTCCTTGAAGATGATTTTCTGTATGATACTGGGGGTAGTTGATTGAGAAGTATGGGTAGTGGGTAGTTCATAACGGTTGGATCATGTCGAAATTGACACTTTTTTTTAGGTCAATGTTGCCAATGTTGAATCTGAGAATTTCAAAGTTACTTTTGAATTTTCCATACAAGAAATATTTTTGGCACGGAGGCGTTTCAGTGCGGCGCCGCAGTACACAGCGAAATTATCCTTGAAAATTCAAGTTTGCTGGAATCATTTCAATCAACTTTTGAAATCTCGTGTCAACATGGCGACGATGCCTGCGCCCGATGCGAGGAATTTCATGGGGCTGATGAAGAACCTGGAGAAAGGGGTAAGTCCATGCACGTGAACAATGCTGAAGTCAAGAGAAGAAGCGGCGCTCAGATAGACACGAGCATGCAGTGGTCACCGGCAGTATGATAGTTGAAATGGCCCCGGCAGGAAGCTAGAGGTGAACCAAGAGACTCTCACGGGGAAAGGGAAGGGGGAAGGGGGGCGGGAAGCTGCGAGGATAGATAAGGAGAGAATTTAGGAGAGGAGGATCATACGGATCATGCACAACAGGCTGCTACAAGTTGGCCTGAGAAGAAAAGGAAGGACAAGCAAACCTTCTGAAGGAGTAGATAGAATGGCCTGATTTATTGAATGTCAGCAAAGCCATACCAAACAAGTGGGTGAGGTGGAGCGATGATCAAACGATGCACTCTCCCTGTTGTTTTATGTAATCTTGCTCAAAAGCTGACTGTAAATTGCATCAGTTCAACTTCACCATTAGGTACGTCGACCAGCTGGATGCCGAAATCAACACCACGCTAGTGTCCGTGGGACAGAATTCAAACGACCTTGACACAGCATGGATAGTTCTGTGTGGTACGCCCTCCTCCCCCTTCTCTCACCTCTTCCGTCACCTTCTCACTCCTCCCCAGGTGCCCTCGTCTTCTTCATGCAGGCCGGCTTCGCCATGCTCGAAGCCGGTATCGTCCACCCCAAGAACGTCACCAACATCCTCTTCAAGAACATGATCGACGCCTCCATCGCGGCCATCGCCTTCTGGCTGCTGGGCTACGGCTTCGCCTTCGGGTCGGACTCGGGCGGCTTCATCGGCAAGTGCGGGAGCGAGTGCTACTTCGGCTTGAAGGACGTCTACAACGGAGCAGGAGACGGCATGGGTAGCTCGGACGGGTGGGAGAAGTGGTTCTTCCAGTGGGCCTTCGCGGGAGCCGCGGCCACCATCGTGGCTGGGGCTGTGTGCGAGCGGACGAAGCTGGAGGCGTACTTCATCTACTCGGTGTTCTTGAGCACCTTCATGTACCCCGTGATCGTGCACTGGGTGTGGGGGTACGGGTGGCTGTCGGCGTGGGGAGCGTATCCTGACTCCAACGGGGTAGCTCGGCCCATCTTCAACAAGGACACGCGGTCCAACGGCTTGATCGACTTTGCGGGGTCAGGAGTCGTGCACATGGTAGGAGGCTTCTGCGGGCTGGTCGGGGCGATCATCGCGGGAGCTCGTCGAGGACGCTTCGGGCCCGACGGGTCGGTCAACACGCTCTTCGAAGGGAACAACACGCTGCAGGCGCTGGGAGTGTTCATCCTGTGGTTCGGGTGGTACGGCTTCAACTGCGGGTCGACGCTCATGATCTCGGGAGGAGCCGCCAACGTAGCCGGGAAGGTGGCGGTGAACATGACGATCTCGGCGGCGTCAGCAGCGATCACGGCGACGTTCCTGGCCAAGGCCCTCCAAGGACACTACAACATCTCGATGGGGCTCAACGGAGTGCTGGCGGGGCTGGTAGGGATCACTGCCAACTGTGCGGTCGTCGATCCATGGTAAGGGAGGAGGAACGAGAGGGATCGACAAGACTAGAGAGAGAGCGTTTGGCGTGAAGGGTGCGGAGGAGCGAGAGGAGGAGCTGGGGTATGGCGGGTCGCTGACGCCTCTGTTACAGGATGGCCTTCCTCATCGGGTTTGGAGCAGCAATCATCCTGCTTGCTGGCCACTCTCTCCTCCTCTACCTTCGCATCGACGATCCTTGCGACGCCTCGGTCGTGCATGGCTTCTGCGGCATGTGGGGCATCTGGGCGACCGGCATCTTCTGCACGGACAAGAACGTGCAGTATGCGGGCTACCCCAACGCCAACGAGGCTTGCGGCAGCGGCGAGCAGTTCGGAGTGCAGGTGGTGGGAAGCTTGGTGATCGCAGCATGGACGATCGGGATGTCGGTGATGCTGTTCCTGTTCATCGACAAGACGATCGGGATCCGAGTGAGCGCTGAGGTAGAGGAGGACGGGCTGGACGCCTCAGAGCACGGCATTGACTATATCCTTCCTATGCTGCCGAACCGGGTATGTTGTATTTTGCAGGAGGGCAATGTAGGAGAGGAGGAGAGAGAAGGGAGGAAGTAGGAGAGAGAGGAAGAGGAGTGAGAGGAGGAGGAGGAGGAGGAGGAGGAGGAGGAGGAGATTTGACGACCTGCTGTTGTCGCAGATGGCGGATGCAAGTAGGATGGATGCACACGCGAGGAAGATGGAAGGGGCTCCGCATGCGCCGCATCCTCCCACCTCCAATTCCGTTCATCCTGACTTCTCATCTCCTGCACAAGAGAGCGTGGGAGAGGAATGTGAGACGAAAGCTTTCTTGCTTGACATGATGTGTTTTTTCTGACATGTTGGCAGACGGTATCCAGCAGTCAGAGACAGCAAACGTGCAGTCTTTGACGTTTGCTGGAGGCTCTGGGGAGGCGTAAGAGGTGATGAGGGTTGAGAAGAAATAGAAAGAGGGAGGGAGGGAGAGTGAACCAATTCTTGTGCTATACAAACAAAACATTCATCGAGATTGAAATTATGGTTGCAGGAGCTGAGTTGCCTCGCATGCACTTATTCCTCCTCCTCCTCCTCCTCCTCCTCCTTGACCCCACCCTCCCCTCCTCCTTCTCCTGCTTCTGGACTTGTCGTATCTCCACTCCTCATCATCATTACAGACTTGTCGATCTGTAAGATTCAAGCTCTAACACAATGTTCTGCCAGCCATTCAGCATAGAGTAAGAAAGGGAAAAAGGAGGGGCAAACCTGTATCAACGTGACCCAGAACAAAGATTCCTTCTGTTGACAGACGTGAGATGTAAGTTTACAGCAGGTACAAACACCGCCAGCATAGAACAATGGGCAAACAGTTTAGAGTTCAAAGCAAACATTCCAGACAAACAACTCTCAACCGTCAGCGCGATCAACAGCATGTTTTAAACAATCCCATCTCTCACCGTGCGGGATATCAGACCATCTATATACACAAGTCTCATTGACATGTCGACGACAAACTGTTCCATTTCCAGCATGTAAACATCCTGCAATCACATCAGCGTGTGATGTACGATGAGCGACATCTTGTACATGGTCAACGTGCCCGATGTTTGACTGCCCGGAGAAGCGTGAGAACGAACAAAAGTATGTGAAGAGCGATAAGAACTGAATGGAGGGAGGGAGGGAGGGGTGAGGGAGAGCGGGAAAAGGAGAGGCAGGGAGAGAGGCAGGAAGGGAGTGGGGGAGAGGGAGGGAAGGAGAGAGGGAGCGAGGTAAGGAGAAAGGGAGGGAGAGAGGGGGGGAAGAGGGAGGGAGGGAGAAAGGGAAGGATAGAGGGAGAAGAAGAAACAGGCAGGCGCAGGCAGAGGGACAGCGGAGGAATTTTTCACCGCGGCAGGAGAACTTTTCTCGTCCTTGAACCAATCTGAGACGGCTGAGACCTGACAACATCAAAATTCAACAACTAGATCCTGTATCAAGTCTTCTCCTCCCCTCTTCCTCCCCCT